CGGTGGACAGGCTGAGGTGCGTGGACCGGTTTTTTAACGCGACACAGTTCTACTTGAACTGTCGTACAGGGATAAAAGAGGCTAGAAGCCTAGACGATTTCCGGTCATCAGACACGAGCACCAATCTGTGTCACGGTGGGATGATCAAAGCACGATGAGAGCCAAGAGTGGAAAGACAACTCGACTTGATGAATTTTTCTTCTCTCATATTCGGCGCTCATTCATTTTTCAACTCCGGGTCTTGAGGAATACTTTTTTTTTTTCTCAACAATCAGGAGTACGGCATCTCGGGCACGACTGGTGTCCCAGGTCTGACCATCGCGAGGATGAATAAGTAGGTCGTAAAAATAAATAAATAAAGGGGGTATAATGAAAACAAAGAAATCCACGTACCGCTAGCCGAGCGTAACCGACGCCGTGACACTCGCAATCAGAGTCTAATCACTGAGTTGCATCGAACTCTTTAGTTTTGCTTATTCTGCACGGTACAAATTGCCCTCGGGGAACAATGGAAGTGTTATCAGGAGAGGTGAGTCACCCAAACAGTTTATATTTTAGAAATAAAAATCATGATTGAAAAGTTCAAAATTAAATGACTCCTGAATTCAAATTAGCCGCCGCAGACAACTGCACCAATGAGGAATGAGCGCGACAGGCTTTCGAGATATCGATTATCTCGATATGTTCAGAAGAGACCAGAGAATAAATTGATATAGAATATCCCATATAGCAATTTTTCCATCCATCGAAATGACTAATCACAAATATAAAATAAATATGTAATAATAAATTACATCGTTGGGGTAGATAATTTTTTATTAAATATCCCTTCAATGAGTAATATTGTAAATTTGAGAGAAAATGTTGAATTCTCTGAAACTTTCGGTGGCGCTTAGTTGAATTGGATATAGTTCTCATAAATCGGATATTTATTTCTCATGTGCTTTGATTCAACAGAATGAATAATTTTTCGCTGGTCGAATTCAATAAATACGTTATTCAAAACACCTGGAGCGAAATTTCCACGATGAGTGGAAGCTTTATTACGTCATATTTGGATAAAAGCTTTCATTCAAAAGGATTGAAATAATGTCAAATTGGATCAGATCCATTGAATTCGAATGAATAATTTTTCGGAACGTACCAAGCGGTAGGGTAGGACAACGTAATAATAATCCGTGGATTTTTATCATAATTATTCCGGCGAAATTAAACTCTATTCACTGTACCGACATTTCTGTTTCATTTTTCCCTGAAATGAAGAGAAATCAAAAAAATTCATTGCATTTCCGGGAAATCCGAAATTTTACCGTTTTTTTCTTTTCCCTAAATGGCGGTCATTCCATTTTATTTTTTAGATAACGATCTTCGGGGCTGTCAAAATGGTTGAAATCCAACAGCTTACGACATCTGAGCAGAGGAAGTAAAATAAGAACCTTATCTCTAGTCAGAATTTTTTCTCGTGTAAAATTCAAATTGACCCGCCCTAACCTCGTGATTGAATTTCAAAATGATCGCTTGCGGTCCTCTCTGCTTTGTGTTCTCGAATGAATAAGAAACTTGAGAAAAAAATACGCTTGAAATTTAAAAGCAAGACCATTTAAGGAGACCATTGTACCCTGACCACAGAGTACAAACCACCGACGCACAATAACTCGGACGAGGGTAGATCGTTTATCTCCCCAACGGACCAATAACAGATACGATTATCGTTTAATCTCGAATGGTCGTAGCGACTCAACCGAGACGGAGCCTCTCATTTTCCGTTGCAATACTGACGTCTTTGATCTCCCCAATAAATTTTTATTCCACACAAATTGTCCAATTCAATTTACCCCAATCGAACAAAATTTTTCAACTCGTATCGATGCACCCAGCCAGATAATATCTGTCAATATTTACCATTATTTACGCGATTACCGATTTATCGCTGATTATTTTGGAGAAAAATCCGCGACAAGATTGTCCAATTGTTCGGTAATTTTTGTTGAATAAAAAAATTAAACATTTTTTGCAGTGATGAAAATAGTGCAGGGGTGATATCAAAGACTGATAGCGGGACTATTCGAAATTAACAAAGTTGTTTCATTCAGTGTACGTACCATAATTCCACATGCAAACGCAAAAGGCTAAACGAAAATACAATCGCGTGTCCCTGCTAAATGAAAATGCGAATCAACTGACAGGCAGAGGCCCACGTGTGGGCCAATTTTTCTCCTCACGAGATCCTCACGATTTGCATTGACCGATATACTTAAAATGCCTTGTTACCCACCCCCTCATGTCGCCCCCTTTACCACCCACCACCCCTTACACACACGAGTCGATGAACTTTCCAAGCTGCTTACCATAATACCCGCGAGACCGCACGCGACGTCCACGGATCCATTTTCATTACAGCGGATGGTTTAAATTGCTTAATGCGAAAGAGAAAAGAGCGAGAAAACAGGGAAAAATGGATAATGCGAAATTGAAAAAAATTAAGAACGCCTGGAGACGCGCGTGTAATTTGAATAACTTCTCTCGCGAGGAACGGAGGAATTTAATGAGAAGATACCGAGCAATCGTTTAGGGTCGGGGTGATTAATTTTTTGGGGATTATATGGGGTCATCATTCTTCCAGTGTCACCAGAATTTTCACTCCACCTCTCCCCGAAATATAAAACCGCTTTTTCATATAAAAAATTTGAATTCACGGAACGTGCAATTTTTACTCAATAAAAAATATGAAAATCCATTTGTCTTCATTTTGCTGAATGATGAACAATAAAATAATAATTATAAATAATTCCAACAATAAAAACCGGATCAATTGAATTAATTTTGCGAAATAAATGCTTCTCTTTGTGGGTAATCGTTAAAAATGAGAAAAAAAGGGCTTTAATTGGATTCAAGGGTAAAAAAAAAACCGACGGTCAAATGCTCTATTAGGCATTCAGTCATCGGAGTAACTTTCTCCAAGCGATGGCCAAGGTGAGCTGAATTTGGCAATCGGCATCATTATCCACTCGTTTTTTTCCCCGATTGTCCTCGAATAAATGATTAAAAAGGGGAGGAAAGGGGGAGGACGAGAGGAGGGGGTGGCAAGTTCTTGTGCGGATGCACGTATTACAGTTCCGCTTTTTACCGAGTGTCTGTAGGCGCGTCCACAAAGAAAATAACAAAACCACGGCCTCAGGAGAGCATGAAGCAGACGAGTTAACGGTATTATCCTCCCTCCCTCCCCCTCCACTGCCCCCTTCTTTGGTATTACAAGTCGACCCGATTTCCTGACCCACTGTGTGTATTGCAAATGCCATTAACTTCTTACACCGGATGCGTAACTCGAGCATCTTCACTGATAAAAAAAAAATCGAGTGATGGGATCTCTCGAATGAATTCATCGGCGTGAATTTATGATCGGATGGGTACTTGATACGTCGTTATTGGGGGTAATCGGGAGGATTTGTACGTGTGCAATTGCCGTGATTGCACGTTATTTCGTGTAATTAAACGGATTGGTGTAAAGATTACGCGACGCGGAGGAAAATTACTCGCACGATGGAAAGACTTTCAAGTGGAATTATTTGCGGGGAAATTTTAGTGATTTTTTGTTGGGGATTTTGGGATGGATCGGTGGGGAGCTGAGGGTCCTTGGAATTATTGATAATAATATAAATATATAATAATAATTAATTGTTGGATGAAATTCGTAATGAATTCTCCGTTCATTCAGTCATCGATTTAAAAGAAAGTCGAGTCGGCGTTTTTTTTTTTTTTTTTTTTTTTAAGTGGGAAGACAAAAATGCTTGGAAGCAGGAGCAGTCAAAGCGACTGTTTTCCTGAGTTCCGAATCTAATCAAAATTCAATTTCACCTCACCGTTGGGCTCAAACTCTTGAAATATTCAACAACAGCTCGGAAAGATTTGATCTCATTTCAACACAATCACTCCTTTCCAATTCATTAAAAATTAAATTCATTCCGACGTTCAATTTCCGTAATCCAAATCGGCGATTCAAATATCGAGGAACAATTTGATTTAAAATTCAATCGAGTGTTACTCACAGTGAAAAAAATTTGTTGAACTCTAGAAACGAAATGAAATTTCAGAAAATAAAAAATGTCTCCTCTTTCCTCTTGCGATTGAATTCATTCTCAAAAATTATCTTTTTTAAAATGAAAAATTGTCCAGCTGTCGACTCGTTACGGAAACCCAGAGACAACAGAACTGATGAAATTTAAATAACTGAAAGTTAATTCATGTCCCCAGGTGGATAGTTTTTATAACAGTACAAAGAGTAATTTATTTTTTTTTCCAGCACAAGGGGCTGAGGGATTCAGCATTTTCAACTAGATTCAAAGTACACATTGCGACACATCTGGACTCGCACAAATAAACAAGACTCGAGTTTCTAATTATGTTCCGCAAAGTTAAATATGTGCTAATTACAGCTTTCTACGAAATGTCGGGTGGAATTGCGTTGTTTTTCGCCTGTGGAGTAATTCAGTGAGTTACGGAGGTGAAAAGCTGATTCTTTTTTCTCTATTTTCCCCAGGTGCCTTTGATTATTTATTGGACGAGAATAATAAGGTAGCCAGCACTCGGCATTTTGTATTCCTCTGGATTAATTCCTGCAGCCCGATGCATCATAAATAATTGATCCGCTCCTCGAGTCGTTTTCAATACGCACGAAATTGAGAGGTGAATGTTTAAGCGATCGCATGCCTCCAGTCTGATTCACCTTACGTAACGCCGATTTATCGTGACCGTAATTACAGTCCTGGATTAATTATTAATGATACGTATTCGGGGAATCGGTTGCCAGTGAATTTTTTTTTAAATATCATATTTTCTCCCGCTGCCAGGAAATGCGGATCCAGTGGCAGTTCCAAGAGATATTTCAGAATTTCATAATTAAAAATTCATAGCCATTTTTTTTTCTCGAAAATACAGTTAACACCTGTCGAGAGATCGATATACCTCAGTAACTCGTCAACTTCAGGTGAGTTAAATCCATTTCCGGAACTGTCATGCATCCAATGCGGTAAATAAAAATATTTCAATTAAAAATTCTCGTAACGACTTCCAATAAAATGAATAGAAAAACGTAATGAACCGATAATGGGAAAATCCAAGGTAAAATATCGTCAAGTGACAGGTAAAAAATAATCTGAAATGAATAAAACGATTACAGAATCGTGAATGTAACCTGAAAAAATGGAGCTCAACCCGAAAATCGGCACCCGGTCATCGGGAGCCCGCGTCCAGGACGATATTCTCGACGAAAGGTCAGTCCAGTACATGACAGAAGAATAAGAAGAATGGAATATCGATGAAAAGAGATATTGAAATAAAAAAAATGGAATAAAAGTGCCACTGACCATCGGTCGGTGGCTTCGGATGACCAGATTAAAGCGATAAATCTATTCCGTCGGTTTCCGGGGGCAAATGCAATAAAGCCAGTTCGACGATATATATCTGTTCACTCATTTCCTCTTCCCTCGGTTCACAGTCGAAACATGGAGGTCCCACGGTGAGGAGGTGTACTGTCCCATTTGCAAGAAGCCAGTAGTTCCGGTTGTATTGGAAAAACGTAGGAGAGTCACGAGCTCGGGTTTCGCTGCCATTTGTCTCCTCGGGTAAATCGTTATTACGATTTTCGTGTATCAGGTAGAGATGCCTAAGACAGGATAGTCTCAATGCTAACGATTTTTGACGTTTCACGATTTTTTTTTATTTTCCCTTACCGATAAAAAGAAAAAATCGCGAAAAATCACTCCACATTTTTAAATTATCAAAAAATTCTCATATGAAAATAAAATTAAAGATCATAACCCGAATTATCGATTCTAGGAATATAACACATTCTGACCCTTTGTTTTGTAGAAATACTAATTTTTGTTATCACGCTAAAATGAAATAATTGTAATAAAATCGTGGGGATCGCGAGAATTTTAAGGAAAAAAATGATATTTAATTACTGAATTGAAGTGTATATTTTTAAAATGCAACGAGGCCTAATTGCAGCCCCTTGCTGTCAGGAATAGGAGCCATTCGATGAGCCCCAATTGGAATGCGTATAGAACCCTTTGATGATATTCCAGGTGCTGGCCATTGTGTGCTGGCCTGTTTCCATTGAAGGCTGATAGTAGTACCCTGGAGATGCGGTGCCCTGTCTGTAGCTATCAGTATCGTTCCCTCCATCGTGTCAAGGAGATCTCACCGTCAAAGGCCTCATCAACATCGACACTACCAAATACCAGAGACTCACACCATTCCCTGAATACACAAATGAAAACTCATCCTCAGAGAGGCGATGAGGTCAGTGAATAACCAAAATTCCCTGCTTGGCAACACCTGTAACACTCGGATCTCTGAACATATCGGCAGCATCGTTTATGAGATAGCTCTTCTGGGGTGCTGTCGTTATTACACGTACATAATATGCATATAGTACATTCTGACACTGCACTTGAGCGAGTACACTGGCCGGTATATATATTGGGTAAAGTGAATTCTCCCCCTGGTTTTCTCTCGATATTCAACTTTGTATGGTAAATGTATAACCTGACACGCTTGTTCCGCGTTGCGATCCTATCTCGGGAGGTCCCTCTTTTCTACACTAACGATACTATCGAATACAAATCGCATATGAATTTATAAACATTCGTCGAGGTAAATACCTATCGTTTTTCCCAGGTTTATGGTGTTTACATTCCAATTTTGCGGAAATGAGAAATATCTCTGCGAGATTGGAAAATCATTTTTTCATCATTTTTTCATAATTTTTTCATAATTTGTTCATCATTTTTTCATCATTTTTTCATCATTCAAAAAACACTTTTTCCATAAATAATATGAGTGAATCTATAAATAAATTGATTGGGGAATTTTATTCGAAATATGTTCTTTGATATATTTTCACTTTCTTTAAATTTTTAGTGATATTTTTTTTACGGACTATTTCGCAGGTAATGGAGAGAATGGAGTTGGAAATTGACGGGGAAAAAAATAAAATGGGTAGTGCATCGGTTCGAACCCATCACGCAATCGATAGAATCGGTAGAATTGATCTCGTTCAGCCATCTGATGGATGTGAATGTCTCGAATCGACAGACATCAGTGGAAAAGTATCGTCCTATCGACTGGTGGAGCAGTTCGAGTACTACAGACATCAGCATAATTCATTTCAATCCCCAGAGTGTGGATTTTATCATCACCGGTGCAATCAACGATCCTGTCCTCATGACACAAAATTTCCAATGGTTACACTATTTAAATAAATAATTCAACTCCCTAGATAAAATTTAAAACCAAAATTTGCAGTTCTCCTTGATTTTTTCTTGAGATTCTAAATTTCGAATGACGAGATCCCCAGGGATTCTAGTGGAATTTCAATAAAAAATCCTGAAACTCAGTCTAAAATTTTCCGCAGCCCCTGAGTCACGAGGAATCGGCATTTCACGCGATCGAACATACTGGCTATCACGACAGCGGATTGAGGCGGATAAACTCCCTCGTCTTTGACAGTAAAAATAGACGAGAGTTCACGAGTAATGAGGATCGAGGATATAATCACATCCATTGGACAGGCGATGACTGCAGGATTTCTCAGCCTGAGAATACATGTTGTCAGGGCAGAGTCCGCGGTGGAAAAAAATAAAAAATCACGATAAAAGCTTCAAATAATTCAATAACTCAATAAAAAATGCAAAGAAAATACCAAAATCATTACGAGAACTTGCCAAACTTTACTGGAATTCAAATAAAATATTTGGGAATAAAAAGACTCACGTGCAAATATTCTGTAAGAATTTTTATTCGAAGGCGGAAAAACTCGAGAAAGCGATCGGGCAATATTTTTGTTCCAAAACGCGAGGCAATTAAGAACTTGAAGAGAAAAACAACCCCAGTCGTCTGGCAATACAAAAGCCCACGAATTTATCGAGACATCGGCGGTAGTGGGTGCTGTCGAATCGAGTGCCGACTCGTCGCGACAACGGGGCACGTAACAGGCATAAAATGATGAAAGCAATCTCAGCGCTGATCTCGCAATGCCCACAGCCAGAAAGAAGACCTATGAAGGAGGCACCGGGAACGAAAGTAGAAAGAAAAAATAGAAAACAGTGTAATAGGGGAAGCGTAAAAGGAAGGGATAGTGTTGGAGGGCTATGATGGCGTGGGCAACGTGGCTTCAACCTACCGTGGGATCGGCGGTTTCTCTCAACCTACCGCCGGCTTCACTGGGTGGTGCAAAAATAAAAAATGCGAATTGAGAGAAAACAGAAAGCCAGGTAAAAATCACGCACACCCATCCATTACTGTTGATAAACCCGGAATTTTCCAGATTTTCACGTTAAAAATCATGTGTTCCACGAAAATCAGGAAATTTACAGTTTTCCACAGGAAAATTCACAGCAGTTTCTATGATTCATGATCTCGAGAGTTAATTTGAAAAACTGGGGAATTGATGTATAGCATTTTTTCATTTTTATAGATTTTTTGCTTGTTGGAAAAAAATCAGAAATTTTCTGGAGTGATCAGATCAATTAAAATGGCAATTAAATTCACCTCAGATGAGTAATTATCTCTGCTAATAAGCGTGAGCAGCAATCAGCAATTGACAGATCCCTGATTAAAATACAAAGAAGAACTTCAACTATTGATCTTCAAATAGCCGACAACCGCTTCCGCCAATTTGCACTACCTCATCATCATGAAATGATTTACACGTGAAAAAAAAAATCACGAGTATACAATTACTGATGAATTTTCATTCGTCATTCATCTTTATGATTGATTAGGTTGTTTTCCATTCATAATTTATTTTTACAAAAAGTCCGAGCGGACTGAGATAAAAAATGATGGAATAAAGAACAAAGGGACACCTCATGGGGGAGCAGTACTCAATTGTTCATGTCGGTATGTTTATAACAAAATACTGTATGATTAGCATTGCGAAGCCGACGAGTCACTGGCGATATGGTACAACACAGAGGTAAATGTCAGACTGTAACAATATCTCTCCGAGAACTGCTTCAAGTGAGTGTGTACTGTTACTCCACTTGCAATCAATGCTGACTCCTGGGGATTTCACCGGTGCCATCTGCCATGAGCTCCACAGGAGAGAAAAAATTCGCTTGAATTATTTCGGAATGAACAAGTCAACAAAACTCACAAAATATGAAGTTCCGAGGAAAAAAGTACACAATACTCAATTTTTCATTAAAATAAAAAAAAAATTTCGAATTTTAATGAAAAATTGAATTGATCATTGAAATATCAATTAGTTCAACGAGTTGATTGGTTTTTTTTGTTCACTGGTTTAACGGATCTGTTTCCTCGGAAGTACTTCCAAAAGTTCTCAGTACAGTTAATATTCCATGGATATTGTCCTCAGGGTCCGGATCCCCCGGGGATCTCTTCCTCATGGACACGAGAAACTCCCACGAATGAGCAAATGCACCGATCAATACTCTGGAATTATTAAACCACAACGAACCACAGCGTCGTTTATTAATTTTATGCTGTGCATTTTTTTTTTCTGGTGAATCCATTCTTCCTCGGTTGAGAATGCGGCAGTCAGAGGGGGATAATCGAGCCCACAAAATTCATTAACCGGAAAATCAGACTGTTTAATAGAATACGTTGGCTTGAAAGTGGCGGGAAAATAACGGTAATGGAGTAGAATGAAAATGAAGGAACGGAAGAATCCGTCGCGCTCGTAAATACAGAGAATGAGAATTCAGAGAGAAGTCTCTCTTGATGAATGATATCGAGACCTCATGCGGGTATTATTGATGCTGCTAAAATTAATTCCACGGGGTATTAATCATTCCTCCGCAAAAACCACTTTCAGACTGTCAAACAATAGCTTTTTAAACTCCAGCGACAAATAACCAAAAATAGATATGTCAACAGTAGATTTACTATTCGGCCAATTTTCGAAATAATTGAATGCAAATTTTCAGTGGAATGCGAGAGCAGTGGATAAATCCCCACCAGAATACAATCCCTGCACTCCTCAAACTTTAACACACCCGAGTTGATATAATCCCAGTGAAAATCCACGAAATATTAATTGGGCTGTGAGTTATAGAATCCGAGTAAACCCCAAAAGTATTTGAACTCGGGTTTTGGTGAACTGCAACGGTAGGCACTTACAGATATATACCAAAGTGGATTGCAGGGGCACAGAGGACCAGTGCTTTTTGCATTTTAACCCCCTTGTGGCAATTTTCCATTTGTGCTTGGGTGAATATACGCCTTCAGGCTGTTTCAAATTACCCGGAGTGCCTCCTCTCGTTAATTCTCAAACCGCCCACGCATGAACGAGCCCAGTTGGCAAACTCCATTAAAGAGATTTCAAATTTTTTCCAATCCCCCCCCTGAAAAAAGCCCACTCCGATACTTTAATTAACCTGAAATCTCGGGTTCATCGAAAGTGTTTTGATTTCAAAATAGTTACTACCCAAGTACTTGATAACGAGATTATTTTTAATCGGATACAAACTTTATTTTATTTTATTTCTATTTTATTTATTTATTTATTTTTACTTTTTCAGAGGATCTCCTGGGAGATATAGGAAATTCAGCCGATGGAGCGTGAAAGGCACGTACGTAGGGGGAAATTACACGCGTTAAATGTGGAACGGTAAGTGGTAACTTACGATAGCACTATCGAGTACTTCCTCAAGGTGGATAACCACTACGGGTGCATATACATACAAGGGGGCAAATATCGTGCCTCAGAATTGTTCTCAGGTATATTCCTACTTCGCATTCACTCTTACCCTGGCTCTGACATCTGTCTCTTACTCTTAACTTGATACTGTCGTTGGTAATGAGTCGGAGCTCCTCCGTACGGTTTAATTAGAAAACCGAGCGGTGCAACGTGCCACCCTCAAGTAACACTGTCGCCTATTCTCTCGTTACTCTCGGTGCATTCATTTTTGACGGCTGTCTTAACCGGTGGAATGCCGCATTACGAGAAAATTCACTTTCCCATTTGTTTTCTGGGTACTCGGGAAATGGGGGGAAATTTAATGAGAAATATAATTGGAGTTTTTTCGGGGGAATCAAACAACTGAAAATGTTGCGGGGTTCGCTATTCAATAGGTGCACACGGGTCTGTTAAATGAGCAGGTTAATTGGGTTTTTTTTTTATTTCAATTGTGTACCACTGGAGCGAGTTCATTAGTGAGTTTTTGTGGACATTTCATGAATTTTTAACCGTTTTTGAGCATTTTTGTGGAATCGGAGGCCAATTGTGCGAGTGGAACTAGTCGGTTTATTTTGTAGGTGAGTTTTTTTGGAATATCTCGGAGTATATGGGAGATAGCAATATTTTTATAAGGACCTCTTTTGTAGGACGATATGAGAGCTGCAAAAAAGGAATTCATCAAAATTTTTCTATCTCCCTCAGATTCGGAGATATACCTCGAAAAGGCGATTACCTAAAAATCGATTGCGATCTCTTCGCTTCGCCCGTCTTATTCCAATCTGCCTTTATTAAATTTTGGATTTTATTGTGGAATATGTAAAATTAAATGAAAAAATGAATTTGTTATTCTGTTCGTAATTTGTTTATTCTCTTGCTGGTTAATCAATGAAAATTCATTAAAACTTACGGTTTCGTTTTTGAATAGAGGCAGTCGGTTTCCATCAACCGCGCAAGTTAATTGAAAAAAAAATTGTTTTAGATGTGTACTACAGGGCGCACTTAATAAATGAATTTTTAATGAAATGCAGAATTTCACGATATCGGTAATTGGTGGAGAGCTATAGATTCCAATTACCGTTTTCATTCGATCATAAAAAACCTCATAACTCACAGAGATAAAAAATAGTATGAATTACCATAAAAAAACAGTAAAAAAAATACTACACGTCCTTCAATTAAAATTATTTTCTGACAATCTCTAAAAAATCGGGAAATTAAATGATTTTCAAATTCCGATTGCTTTCTATTCAATTTTGCATTAAATCTTGAAATCATGAGTTCATCTAATTAATGTTTCTCTCCAAGAAACTTTCGGACATGCAGGTAATTAAACCGTGAAGATATTTCCCGGTGTAAAAGTCTGGTAAATAAATAAAGCAGACACGATTTGAACATTTCTTAATTCATCGGATGGGCACGTAGAGGAAAAAGTACGAGAGTAAACCGGGAAACGACTGCACCAGCTAATAAACCCCTCAAGAGATAGAGAAAGAATAGAAATTATTTACCATCAGAAGTTTATACAAGTCCGAGTGCACGGCCATTGCAATTAAGTCCAGTCGTAAAATTCCTCCAAAGGAGAAAAATCTCCAGTCGTAGATTGGGTAAGAGTCCCAAAATTTTGGGTCTCTCGGGTTAAATTCTTGGCTTGGCATCGAGACTATAGAGTTGTGGAGTTGGCGAGTGAGAGTTAAACTTTAACACACCTCATTTTTGGGATAATCGATTTTCCGAGACGTGGGGTACAGGTTTTACGACGTATTGGGATTATATCACACTTAACTGCGTCATATCCCTCGGGTTCACAGAGCAATTGAACTCTTCTTACCGACCACCTCACGATGTCCCAACTTCAGTAGTTTCTCGACCAATGATGGCTCCCCAGGACAATACGACCGAGTCGCAGTTTCATTAATCAAAAAGCTTTACTGCCAATTCCTTCAATTCCCACGGATCTCACGCACAATAATCGTAAACCTCCAGTCCTCGATATAAAGTCGAAACGAATGGATGAAACAGCGGAGGGATATCGGTGAGGGGATGACTGAA